TATAAGATAACTTTCAATCTTCGGACTGACTGTAATAAAGTTTCTACTATGACATTATATTAATAAAAAAAAAAAAAGAATGTTCTTCGTTAGTAATTAGAAAGATAGACTAAATACTTAACTGACATTACATAGAGTTAGAGTTAGAGTTAATGTTCAATTAGTTGTTTGAAACGGTGTTAGCTAAATAAGCTATTAAGTAAAATGACTATTAGTAAAATAAGGCAAAACCGAATGATTTGATATTTTTAGAGTAATTAATTGATTAGTTATGAATACTTATTATTTTATGGCGAATAAGAATGATCTATTAAATTGATTAATTTGTCATTTGTGTAAAAATAAAATAAATAAAATACATGGGCGAATAAATAATAATAAAATATATGGTGAATAAATAGTTAAATAAAATACATAATAAATTTGTACCCGATACTAATATAATCATTAACTGATTTGATTAGTTTATACATATAATGATCAACATAATTGAAATTTCTAGAATTATTCAATTGATACTTTATTACCATAATAGGTACGATCAGCATTGTCCAAATATGGTATATTCTCTGACTGTAATATGCAAGGTATATTGAAAGGCATATAGTTAAAAATTGATTTATGCAGAACACTGGTATAGATATTGCTTCTATAATAGGGAGTTAAAGCATTAGATAATACTGTATACTTAGAATGTTTGAAAAATACTTAGCATACCTGATTAATATTTTAGGTCTTTTCTTGTGCTCGAGCCATTATCTCTGCTGCTTCTTGGTGATGTTGATTTGTATAATGAGTGATCCAATTTTGTATAGTTTTTAATTTTGGTACTTCATCTTTTTCAATTACTTTATTTTCTATGCATTGTCTTAACTGGGTAAGCATACTTTTAGCGGTATGTCTTTCACTTTTGTTAATATTACCCTCTAAAAAATATCTCTCTAAAAGGTTCTACACTTTTTTTGAAATTCATTTTCCACATCCCTTCTTTTCATATTTTTGTGAAGATTTTAGTGTTTATTCAGAAGCCAATGGCTACAAAAAAAATTGAGAACTATAAAACATTAATAGCCAGATTATTATTGGTCATGCAAATCACCAATTGCATACCCTGAATCCAAAATTGTGTTATTTTCAACACCTTGTATTTTTTCAATAGTTTTTTTTTCCATAAGCTTTATTTTGTGTATTTTTTTTTTTTTTTTTTAATTCTTTGACAGTCTTGCTAGTGCTTAATTTATTTAAGACTATATTTAGGTGAGAGTTGAACTCTCTTGAACAATACAAATTATTTATAACTATAAAAGGCGTCTAGTGATTGTGAGCCTGACATCACCTGGCTGCGATTAACGTGCCCAAATGCAACTTGTCGCACCAACCTGTATACAAGTTAGATAAACTTTGTCAGCCCATCA